CATTTTAGCATGCAGAGATTGGAAAGCTCTTGGAATGAGCCACATTATGATCTAAATATAGGGTAATGAGTACTTCAAACTATTGAAGATAAAAATCCAAACACTGCCTTTTAACTTATTGTCCTTTCTGCTGCTGAAGGTGTCCTTTCCACTACTCAAGGTGATCCCTTTATCTGATAACCCTGTAAGTGGCACTAGCTCTGGTTGGTGACGAGTAGGAGCTGGTTAGGTGGTTGCTTCCAAATACTTTTCGTTTGATCTTGTGTCCCAGCTAAGTACAAGGTGGGACAAATGCAGACACATGGAGGGATAAGGTAAAGCGAGATAACTGAGTCCCCGTTGTGCTTGGACTAAAAGCAAGCCAGAAAAGCAGCACCAGTCCCATTTGGTTATTTCTACACTGACTGGGGAGAATGTTTAGTTAAATTGTGACTAGTGACTAATTTTCAGGTAAGAAATGTTTTAGCTAGGCAAATAATTAGTATCAGAGAAAGAAGCTTAAATTTTTGCTTTCTAAATCACAGGCAAAAAAAGACAGGCCTGCATGCACATGTATGTAAAAGCATAGACTGGGAGAGGACTGGCTGCCTCTATATTGAGGGCAGGATGGTAGGAAGGCTCCAACTTCACCATTACAGGGATGCTTAAATCATTTGGTAAGTTCTCTTAATTTGCTTCTCAGAATGTAGTTAGCACTTGAAGTGTTGCAATGTGCTATTACTGGCACCACATGTCATGGCCATGAAACACTCCCAGAAGGACCTGGCTGGAGCGAATAAGTCAATGTTTAGGTCCCGCAGGAACTTGTATATTTCAAATGTAACTTGCTTATGTAGTGAGGGCCTTTCCAATAAAAGGAAAATGATAATTTAATGTTAGTGACAGCAGAAAAGCGGATGGAGATATCCACTGTGAATTCTTCTGCGTCTTATTTTATGTTTCAACAGCTTAATTTTTTCCTCAGATTACCTGTTAGATTGATATATATCAATTTTTTAAATCTCTTCCCTTTTACCTTCTCTTGGCTGCAAAACTTTTGGCAAAAGCAGAGTCTATCCCTTCTGCAGGGGAGTGCAGAAGAGATTTTAAAAAAAAAAACAAAACAAACAACAAAAAAAAACTTTGGTCAGTCAATAGCACAGTGAGAAGAATGGAAATTGTGGATGAATGTATGAAGTGACCAGCTGATTGTTTTATAGACTAGCTTATTATTTTTATATATGCTAAGTAAAATAAGCTCTTTTAATGGTTTTCTTTTGCACTACTGAAAAGCAGGTTAATGGAGATGATAATTTTAATGATTTCATGATTTCACAAGAAAGAAAGCATCAGCGTGTAATTTTGACCTATAATTTGCTAAATGCTTTGTAATTATTTTCAAATAACTATCTTGGTGCTGGTTTTTGAACACCGAAAGTAGGCTGTTTTACAATTACAGCAGTAAGCAGAAGTGAAGCGAGTTCCGTAGCTGCCATTTGTCTCAAGGTTGCACTGCAGGCGGGCGCCAGCGTGTCCCCCAGCAGCAGCAGCAGATCGCATCCAGCTCTGCTGACGAGGCTCAACGTGCACATGGAGCCTTTCCTCTGCCTCGTCCCCTTGTAGGCTGGGTGATGTCGACTATGCCAGTTTGCTTGTTTCCTTCTTTTAAAGTAAAAATAAATCAGAGGTGACTTTAAGAAAGAATAAGTTGTGTCTTTCTAGGCTAGCTTAGCACGGCTGTACTAGCATGTCAGAAGTCACTGTGGACTAAGCATGGTGATGGGGCATAAAATCAAAGTCAAAATCAAACAGGAAGAATTGGATACCTTTTATGTGGTCTGTTTTGCTTGGTTTGGTACCTTGTAATGGCATATTTTCCATACTTATTCCATACTCCAAATACTTATGGAGTTGATGACTTTCAAGACTTATAAGCTTTAACCAATGCTTCCTTTTAATTTGTTACTCTGAACTGCTCTGAACCACTATTCTGGTTCAGAAATAATGTATTCACCTAATTATTTTTGTATTGATCTGGTCTTGCTATTCCTTTGAGCATCCTGGTCTGGATATTTAATACTCAGCTGGTAGTTTATTCAGTGAGTTTTGTATAGTTTCATGAGTCATATTGTCGAATAATTCCCTCCTGAAGGGACTCGGCTGTTGGGACTAAAAGGTATTCTGAGAAAAACCTATTACTTAATAGTGGCAAATGCAATCCTGTGCCATAGACTGACACGTTTGATTTGCCTCCTGCAGGCCTATAACCAGTACTAGTATTACTGTTTGCTGCTTTACAATTTAATTAATGCAAAGTCACCAAATTTCTTAAACTAGCCTAAGGCTTCAACTGTGAAGAAACATGTTAAATATGCTCTGCTAATGCCACCTGCTGATGCTGAGAGTACATATCTGCCTGCAGTTTCATTTTATTCAAAGTTATTGTATGCAATCCTATAGCTGTTCAGTGGCAAATAACTTTTTACATTTTGCGTCCTAGTGTTAATTTAGTTCCATAATAATGAATTAGTTACAGCTCTTATTCTAGCTTGCACTGATTTATTTTACCTGTAATTCTAATTCAATTCTTAGCCTAATTCTAGTTGTAAAAGTCCCAGTTCTTGTTCTCACTCATGTATACTAGTTCAATCTATTATTAAACATCAGACTTATAGTATTTATAAAACTTGAGAATTGCTTATATCTTATAAGTTTAATATTTTTTAAGCATGAGAACTTGTGCATAACTCTTGGTCTTTGAATATGCCACAGTGTAGTTAATTTTTGTGACCCAACACATTGCTTAGTGCTGCAGAGAACTTATGCCTACAACAGAGTCCTGGTGATGAAGACCTTAAGTAAGCTATATATAAGTATATTTATAATGGGACTAATCCTAAATTTACCTCTTGATTGATGGCAGACAAAGGCTTATCTATCAATAGGACTTGAAGGCATGTTGCAGTTTTATGATTTTGCTTTCCACTTTAGGATATATTTCAGTGGATTGTTTGCATTTTATATGTCTATGTTTGAATTTCTTGTGCACTTCAGTGTGATGTAAACACAAAAATAATCACATGCTAGAATAGGTTCCTATCAGCTTGGCAGATGAAAGACTAATTGACCGGATCAGAAAGAGGTTATGATGAAGAAGATATGAAAAGGTTTTATGTTAATGAAATTCTATTCCTCATGTTAGTTTGGGTTGGAAACTCCTGGAATAGGAGAAGTTTTTTTTTTTTTTTTTTTTTCATTTTCCTTTATGTGCCTTCATGCTATTTCTATTGCACTTTACACTTGCAGAACCCAGATTTGGGAGAGTTTTTCTGCTGTGTCATAATTGTTAGGCCATATGCAAAGTGAGAGTAGTCATTCCCCCAGCTGAGAACCCTCCTCCTCTTCTCCCCTTGGCCTTCTCTTTGCTGTGTCTCTTGCTGGTCAGTAATTGCAGAGGACAGAGCCTTGCTAAGGTGCCATCCTGTCCCACTGATAGCACAGGGCTGTTGGGGGCAATGAAATATGTCACTAATTTCAAGACTCTTATACTGTAGCTCAGTAGATTATGTGCTCTGGTATTTTAATTTGACATTTGTAATTCCGGTGGAGGTTTTGAAGGTAATTTAAAACAAGCTGGTAAAATTTATTCTCCTTCTGCTTCTCCAGCAAACAGCACACATCTCTGGACTGTGCCTTCCTGCCTTGCTGCTGTGAAACTTTGTACTAGTGGTCGAGCATGGTTGTTATTAGCAGATGTGAGCAGATAAACACTAGCTTTGCCAAACTGAGAAAGGCTGTATGTGTGTATATGCTTCCGAATAGATACAGGACAAAGATCATGTCCTTTTAAAATCATTGCTGTAGCAAAAAAACAGTGCTAAAACCCGCATGAACATAAGTATTAGAAAAGGTCCAAACCTAATCTCTAAATATGGATGGGTTTTGCTTTTCGGTCTTATGTTTAATAGCAGCTGTTTATTTTCATATTTTGGGGAGATGGGACATGTGAGGGTAGGGAAGAAGTAGGGAGACTGAAGATGATAGATGAAACTACATCTTGTCTTCTCCTGGCCATCCTTCTGGTGTGCAATACCTGAATTCTGAATGTGCTGTTAGAAGCCCAAGATCAAGTAAAAATGTGTGTCTCTAACTCTGACAAAGTGTTTTGGATATGTACAAAAATTGAGCAAATTCCTGCTAGTTCATAAGCCTGCAGCTTGCAGGCAGACTTTGGGGTAGATTTTGAATGCATAAACACTTGTGAAAGCCTTGCTCAGCCTTAGCTAGCCTACAAACTATGTACTGGAAAAGAAGGGCAATACTGTGTATTTGTATCCCCTCCTTTCCACTCAGGTTTTCATTAAATTTTAAATTGCAAACACAGGTGTTTGGTGTCAGCAAGAAACTTTTAGCAGGACTCAGATTTGGGACTTAGGGATCAGAATTGGTGGATTACCTCCCCCTATCCCCATGGTCCTGTATGAGGCAGCTGCACCTCGAAAACTGTGTTCAGTTTTGGGCCCCTCTCTACCAGAAGGACTTTGAGGTGCTGGAGCGTGCCTGAAGAAAGGCGAGGAAGGTGGTGAAGGGGCTGGAGCACAGAGCTTATGAGGAGCGGCTGAGGGAGCAGGGTTATTTAGTCTGGAGAAGACTCAGGGGAGACCTTATCGCTCTCTACAGCTCCCTGAAAGCAAGTTGCAGTGAGGTGGAGGTTGTCCTATCGGTAATTATTCTGGAGAAGAGATCAAGAAGAAATGGCCTCAAGTTGCACCAGGGGAGATTCGGGTTCCTTAGGAGTCAATGTTCAGACCTTAGGAGGCATTTCCACATGGAAAGAGGGGTGAAGTATTGGAGCAGGCTGCCCACGGAAGCGAAGGAGTCGCCACCCTTGGCAGTGTTCAAGGAATGCGTAGATGAGGCGCTTGGGGACATGGTTTAACAGGCACGGTGTTAAAGGGCTTATGGTTGGACTCGATATTGAAGGTCTTTCCCAACCATTATGTTTCTCTATAGCGTACTACCTGTTAACTAGGAGCTCTGCTGAAGAGGCCTGTTCTTCACAGGGTGCGCCTGCTCCTTCCAGTGCGTGATGATGGTTGTCACAGCCTCTCTGACAGGAGGGTTTCCCTGCTCGCAGCCAACTGCTTGCCCGCTCAGGCCGAGCCTCTTCCAAACCTCTTACTGCCTCATGGCAGTCTGGTGTGACAGCACATTCTGCAGCTGCTTTATTTTTACGAGTTGGAAATGGCATTGTATGGGTCTAGGCTTAGTGTTACCCTGTGATAGATGTGTTTTTTTTTCACTAGGTGTCTTAGTATGTGCAGAACAGATATGTTTCCCTGTGCACAATAGGTTCATTCTTCCCTAGATAAATGTAATGTAATTGCAGTTCCTCATATAAATACCCATATACGAGACTCTTCGAGCAATAATGGATTTTGCAAAATATCTTTTCCTACCTTGAATATTGATTCTAAAGCAATGCAATGGTGTCCATCAGAAGGAAGGTTTCTAAGCTTGTATCTTAGCGTAATTTATTATAAGCTGGTCTGACAGCTTTTTGAATTTGAAGAACAAATGTGTCTTTAATGATCCAACTGCGCACCTTTTGGCACGGTGGAGGAGGTCCTTTCATCACCGGCTTCCCAAACTTTTCCTAGGTAGCTAGGTAGCTGTTAGTGGTGCAATAGAAACGTTCCCTTAAACAATGAAATGAAATGATGCTTTTATGCCTTGGAAATACTGATTAAGCAGTGGTGACCTGTCCAAAGGCTGCATGGAGATGTATTTAGCGTAACAGCATGAACATATATATGTGTATATATTTTTTCACAAACACCTAAATCATGGTAAAAGAGCAAGGAATGAATTTAAGAGGGAAAAACATGCATCCCTAAAAAAAGGGAAAGA